GGGACATCTCATACCCAAATCATAACAATTTCCCAGTGAGATACAATGTTCATCCCCCCTAACAATCAGATAAAGGTGATAAAGCTACTTCACATGAAGTCTGTTCAAATATACCAACTCTCTCATTCACTGTAACCTCAACTCCATCAACCCTTACTTTCTAACTACAGCATCCATTGGGACTTTTTGTAATTCTTTATTATGATGCTGGGTATTGAACCTAGGCCCATGAACATCCTAAATAAGTGCTGTACTGATGAGTTACTTCTCCAGTCCCTGGTTCCAGCTTTCTAATACCCTTCTTTTTTTTTTTTTCTAATACCCTTCTTTTTTTTTCTAATACCCTTTTAAGACTAAATATCATATGTTTATGGGGTGACTAGGGGCCCTCAGCCACCAGTCACCCCATAAACATATATATAAAAAAACTCTTATCACTCTAGAAATTCCAAGGATTTTGGGAGTTATATGTCAGAAGCCAGGGACTGGAGACCAAATCTATATTTGACAATATCACAGCATCTAGTAATAGTCAAGCAAGTAATACTAAAAATAGAGTTATACAGAAGTCTTTGAGAGGTACAAAACTATTGGATGAAAGTTTAATAAAGAACAAAATATATACATAATCTCAATATATCTCCACTGATTACTCATTTTAATTATATAGGGAGAAATGGTAACTTTATAGTGGAAAAACCTGATGGACACTATCTTTTTTTCCAAATATTTATTCTTAAGTTTTAGGTGGACACAAGATCTTTATTTTACATTTATGTGGTGCTGAGGATTGAACCCAGTGCCTTGTGCATGCTAGGCGAGCACTCTACCACTGAGCCACAACCCCAGCCCCTGATGGCCACTATCTTAACCAAATGATTAGAATTAGAAAACTTTTAATTTGAAAATTTCTCATAATCTCACTTTATGGAATTAACCAATCTCCTCCCACTGGGAATTGAACCAAGGGCCTTGTAAATGCTAGCCAAGCCCTCTACCACTGAGTTACACCCCAAGCCTTTCTTTCTTAATATGGTGGGTCATATTGGTTTTTTTTTTTAATTTTTTTTTAAACGCCAGGGGTATTTAAGACCTGAGCCACATCCCCAACCCTTTTTATTTTTTATTTCTAGAGAGAGTCTCACCAAGTTTCTTAGGGCCTCCTTAAGTTAATGAGGCTACACTCGAAGAACTTGTAATTCTCCTGCCTCTCGTATTGGTTTTTAAAATTTCTGCCAGCCTTATACTCTTTGGTTAAACTTCAACTGATCAGACAGTATGATTTTACATGTTTCTGGATTTGATTTGCTATTTGTTGAGGTTTCTTCTGTGTTTATGAGGGATATTAGACTGTAATTTTCTTGTCATGTCTTTGGTTTTACAATCATGATAATGTTGACCTCCCCCCAAATGAGCTGACAATTGAGGGCTGGGGATGTGGCTCTGTGTTAGTAGATTGCCTACCTGGCATGTGTGAGGCCCTGGTTTCAATCCCTAGCAGAGAGAGGGGGGGGGGGGGGGGGGGGGGGGGAGGGAGGGAGGGGAAGAGGAGTTGAGAAGTGTTCTCTTCTAGAAAGTAAAAAAAAGAGGGATTGTGTAGAATTGATATATTCCTTAAATGGCTGGTAGAAATGACCAGTTAACCCATCTGGGCCTGTGAATTTCTTTTTTCAGAGGCTTTCAACTAAGAATTCAATTTTTAGTAGATAGTTCTTTAGGTTATCTATTTCTTCTTGAGTGAGTTTTGGTATTTTATGGATTTCATAGAAATCGTCCATTTCATCTAAGTTGTTAAATTTATGTGAACAAAGGTGTTCATTTTTTTCCTCATTTCAGTGTCTAGGGAGTATACAGTGATATCTCCTACTTCTGCTATGAATAAGTGATCTCTTTTTTTTTTCTTTCTTAGTCCATCAAGAAGTTAATCAATTTCATCAATCTTTTTAAAAAATGAACTTTTGGTGTCATTTATTTCTCAATTCTTTCCCATATATTTAGTTTTGCTTGTCTTTTTATCATTTCCTTTCTTCTGCTTGCATTGAGTTTATGTTACTCTCATTTCTAGTTTTGTAAGAAGCTTAGATTGTTGATTTCAGATTTTTTTACTGTAAGTATTTCTTGTTATAAATTTCTATCTTGGGCTGCGTTTGTGGCTCAGAAGTAGAGTGCTTGCTTAGCACGTGTGGGACCCGGTTCGATTCTCAGCACCACATTAAAAAAAATAAAAAGGCATTGTGTTGTGTCCATCTACATAAAAAAAGATTCATTCTCTCTCTCTGTCTCTCTCTCCTTTTAAAAAAATTCTATCTCAGCACTACTTTAGCTATACCCCACAAATACTAATATGTTGTTAATTTTTAAAATATTTTTTGGTTATACATGGATGCAGTATCTTTGTTTATTTACTTTTATGTGGTGCTGAGGATCAAACCCAGTGCCTCCTTCTACTGCTGAGCCACACCCCAGCTGCCTGATATGTTGTATTTTAATCTTCTTTCAGTTCAAAGTATTTTTTATTTACCTTGAGTCTTTTTTTTTTTTGGACCATGCATTATGTGGAAATGTGTTTTTTTGTTTGTTGTTAGTTGTCTAGGCTGGTCTCAAACTCCTGGGCTCAAGTAGTCCTCTTGCCTCAGCCTCCTGAGTAGCACACTACCACAACCAGTGGAAAGCGTTTTTGTTTGTTTGTTTTTTTCCAGTACTGGGGATTGAGCCCAGGGCCTTGTGCATGGACAATATCTTCTTCAGTTTCTGAATATTTAGGAATTTTCCAGACATCTTTCTATTATTGGTTTCTAGTTTAATTCCCTTATTATCAGAGAATACTTGGAATGTTTTCAATTCTTTTAAATTTATTGAGGATTGTTTTATGATCCTGAATATGGTCTATGTTGGTAAATATTCCATGTGTACTTGAAGGACCCATCTTTTCTTTGGAGTAGAGTGTAAAGTTATTTGGTTGATTGATGGTGTTCAGTTTCCCTATATCCTTGCTGATTTTCTGTCTACTAGTTCTTACTCCTAGAGAGCTGTTGAAGTCTCTAGTCATTGTTGTAGATTTGTCCATTTTTCTGTTCAGTTCTTTTCATTATTTAATTATCATGTTGCTGGGGATTGAACCCAGGGCCTTGTGCGTGTGAGGCAAGCACTCTACCAATTGAGCTATTCCCCAGCCCTCACTTTTGATTGTTTTTTTTTTTTTAATTTCTAGGGCCTCTTATGTGCTAGGTGAGCACTCTACTGCTGAGCCACAGCCCCAGCCCATCCACAAGCTTTTCCTCCTCCCACTGTAGCTCCCTGAGCTGACTACAGAGCTGGAGATATAGTGTTTCCACTATGGCACTCAGGGTTTCCCAACTAGGTTTGCCTTCAGAACCAGCCTTTGATAGGATAGGATAAAAGTGGCAGGGGTCCTTCCCACTGTCTCTGGTCAGAGAGTAGGACTCCCTTTCCTTCAAGGTGACTGCTGTTGCTGGATTGCAGTGTTGGCACTAGGCTTTGTTGGGGGCAGCACTGCATGAAGAAAAAAAATAGGATTTCTCCTAGTGTCTTTGTCTCACAGGGGCCTTCCATTTTTCTCCGAAGATTATAAATATTTTTTTGGTGGTGCAGGATGGAACCAGGGCCTCATTTATGCTAGGCAAGCTCTCTACCACTCAGCTACGCCTCAGCCCAAAGGTCTTCTTTTAGCTTTTAAAGATAGGCGAGATGAATGGGTGTGTTATTATTCACTATCCTTTTCTTATGGAGGTGCTGATGGTGGAACCCAGGACCTTGTGCTAGGCAAGCCCTCGACCACTGAGTCACACTATCTTAAACTGGAAATGGCACAGTTATCTGAGACTGTCTCCTGGCTTATGTTCCAAAACATCATACTTTCCTGGTTCTGTCCCTACCATTCAAAAATTTGCCTTGTAATCTTCATGGCACATTGGTGCCTCTCAGACTCTGTACTCAGTTCTTGCCGCAGTCTGGCTGGGCACGAATAACCGAGCCGCCACAAAGCCTTGTAGGTTCAAACAGCAACTACTTTATTTAAACTCTCACCGGCACTGCACGTGCGCTTTTCCGCCAACGCCACCCACGCGGCCTTCTCCTGGGACACACCACACACCAACCGGAAATCCCTCCTCTGGCACTTCCCCAACCAATGGGAACTCTCCGGGAATCCCCGCGAGAACTCCAAAGTAGCAGGCCGAGGCGGACAGCAGGGGTCTAATATACACAGCTTAACATAACCATTATCATCTCAATGGCTTGCGTCACCTCTCAACCACTCCTTCTGGCAAAAATGCCATGGGTCATTTGGACTCGGCTATGGCTCTCAGCAGGTTCTCCTCTCAAACCCATGTTCTCTCTTAGCTTCCCAATTCATTGTAGTAGCTTCAGATAGTAGTGAAATAATCTCGCCTCCCAAGCCTTGCTCTATGCCAGCCTTCTGTCCTGAATTCCAGCTGGACATTTCCATTGGAATATTCCATAGACACTCCTGCTGGGTCTCAAGATCTACCTCACTTTCTCCTCCCTTGACTCATTGTCTCTCATTTTGCTGTTCTCAGCAAACCCCCCCCCCCCCTTTATGAGGTATTGAGGATTGAAACCAGGGACGCTTAACCACTGAGCCACATCTCCAGCCCTTTTTTGCATTTTATTTAGAGACAGGGTCTCACTGAGTTGCTTGTGTGAACTTGTTGAGTGCAGATCCCATGGCTTCTTCATTTTCATTTCCCCAGAAACTTGCCGAGGACCAGGCACACAGTCTCAATTCAGTAGTTTAGTAATCTTTTCTTCATGAATTAATGCATGAACACAGTAGCGTGACTTTTCAGGTTTCCTTTGCCCAAAAAAGTGTAATATCAAGTAAGATACTGGATGGGGTATCTGGTGTGCCTCTTTCTAGTATGCTCTCAATAAGACTCAATTGAAAGGATCAGTTCTCAAACATCTTTTTTTTTAAAATTTATGCATCCAATTCTGATCACTGGAGATTGTTGTTGTAGGGGTCCGTGTCATTCGAGGATGTGGCTGTGGATTTCACCCGACAAGAGTGGCACAGACTGGACCCTGCTCAGAGGACCATGCACAAGGATGTGATGCTGGAGACCTACAGCAACCTGGCATCCGTGGGTGAGGATATTTGTTTTTGTAACTCCTGGGAGCATGTGTTCACTAGACCACATGCAGCCTCTGTAGAGTTTAGTGATATTTTAGTTTCAGATTCAAGGGTCACACTGGCTGAACAGTTTATGGCACCAGGAAGAACTGTGTGTATTCTCACCTCCCCAGTGAAAGGTTTAAAAGGGCCCCCTTCCTTGTGCAGCTCATGAAGATGCACCTTCCTCCTTCATCAGAGGCCCCAAAGCTCAGACATCTTGGCCCACGTCCTGTGCCATTTCCCATTAACAGGCCTCTGCGTGGCCAAACCAGAGATGATCTTCAAATTGGAGCGAGGAGAAGAACTGTGGATATTAGAGGAGGAATCTTCAGATCATGGTTACTCAGGTGAGTATGTAAGAAACAGACATATGGAACACAGGGGGAGTGAGATCCCAGGAATTCAGGTCAGAGGGTATCCTTGTACAATATGTTCTAGGAATCTCTTTTGCTAGGCCTAACTCTTTGAAAATAAGGACAGAAGGTTTAACTGCTTTCGATACCTAAATTCCATACCCCAACATCATGCTCACAATTCACTGTTGTTTTATCTTGATTTTTGTCAAGTTATCCAGTACTCTTTTTCTTTTTTTGTACCAGGGATTGAATCTATGGACACTTACCACTGAGCCACATCCATAGCCCTTTTTTGGGGGGGAGGGGGTGCCAGGGATTGAACTCAGGAGCACTAGGTCACTGAGCCACATCCCCAGCCCTATTTTGTATTTTATTTAGAGACAGGAACTGAATTGCTAAGTGCCTAGTTTTTGCTGAGGCTGGCTTTGAACTCATAATCTTCCTGCCTCAGCCTCCTGAGCCACTGGGATTATAGGCATGTGTCACCATGCCCAGCTCCCCAGCCCTTTTTATATTTTATTTAGAGACAGGGTCTTGCCAAGTTGCTGAGGACCTCACTAAATTGCTGAGGCTGGCTTTGAACTCACAATCCTCCTGCCTCAGCCTCCCAAGTTGCTGGGATTACAAGTGTACACCACCACACCTGGCTGAGCCGTATGAATTTTGAATATTGTGGGCAGATTGAACCCAGTGCCTAAGCCTAGTCTAAGTGACATCTCCTGGGACTTGCAAAAAGGCCAGGGCAAAAGAGGGAAAAATGTTGAGAGGTAGTATCAGTGAGTCATCAGGGGGCCAAAATGATATAAATTATAAAGGCTCTGGTGGAGTTTAATTTTACACTATGAAAGAAGCCATTTGAAGGTGTTAGTACCTCAAAGAGTGACAGACTCTGGTTTGTTTTTAAAGGATCTCTCTCGCTACTGTGTGGCAACAGCTCTGTTGGGGCTAATGCCCTCAGGCTGGATAACAGCCTGCTTCAGCATCAGAGTCTTCACAGTTTGAATCAAAACGTTGAATATAATGGATGTGGGAAAGGCTTCCACCAGGAAACCGGCTTCCTTCAACAGAAAAGAACACACACTGGAGATAAAAGCTTTGAATGTCACGAATGTGGGAAGGCATACTGCAGGAAATCAAACCTGGTTGAACATCTGCGAATACACACAGGGGAAAAACCTTATGAATGTGGCGACTGTGCCAAAACCTTCAGTGCCAGATCATACCTCATTGCCCATCAGAAAACTCACACAGGGGAGAAGCCTTTCGAATGCCCTGAATGTGGGAAATCTTTTGGCCGGAAGTCACAACTCATTTTACACAGGAGAACCCACACAGGAGAGAGACCCTATGAATGTACAGAATGTGGGAAAACCTTTTCCGAGAAGGCAACTCTCACCATCCACCAGAGGACCCACACGGGGGAGAAACCCTACAAGTGTAGTGAATGTGGGAAACCATTTCGTGTCAAGATAGCCCTCACCCAGCACCAGAGAACTCACACGGGGGAGAAACCCTATGAATGTGGGGAATGCGGGAAAAATTTCAGGGCAAAGAAATCCTTAAATCAACATCAGAGCATTCACACAGGGGAGAAACCTTATGAATGTGCAGAATGTGGGAAGTTCTTCCGAATGAAGATGACTCTCAATAATCATCAGAGGATCCACACGGGTGAGAAACCCTATCAGTGCAATGAATGTGGGAAAGCTTTCAGTGTGCACTCCTCTCTTGGGGTCCATCAGAGAATTCACACGGGAGAGAAGCCTTACCAATGCAACAAATGTGGTTATGCCTTCTACGTGAAAGCACGTCTCATCGAGCATCAGCGAAGGCATTCAGGAGAGAAACCCTATGAATGCACTGAGTGTGGGAAGATCTTTAGCATGAGGAAGTCCCTTCGCCAGCACCGGAGAACGCACACAGGAGAGAAACCGTATGAATGCAGCGAGTGTGGAAATGCCTTCTATGTGAAAGCCCGTCTCATTGAGCATCAGCGAATTCACACGGGGGAGAGACCCTTTGAATGTCAAGAGTGTGGGAAGGCTTTCTGCCGGAAGGCACACCTCACAGAACACCGGAGAATTCACTTAGGCCGGCCCTTGCCATGTGCAATAGAAAAAGCCCCTCCCTAAAGACCCTCCCCACCCCTGGATCAAGCCCCTTGGGGCATCTGATTACCAGAGCACTCAGAATACCCCTATCATGGTGTGGCACCTAGCTTGGTGGAAAGCTAGTTCCTGACCCCCTTAGGGGGCAGCTCCTTGTTATTTTCATTTGTATTTCCCCAGTTGGTGGTGAAGCTGAATATGTTATCCGTTTGGCCCTTCAGGTTTTTCCTTCCATGTATTGACTGTTCACACTCTTTCCTCATTGATTATTTGGTACTGAGAATTGAACCCATGGGCACTTTACCACTGAGCCACAGCCACAGTCCTTTTTTATTTTAAGACAGTGTTTCACTATGCTTCTAAGGCTGGCCTTGAACTTGCCTCAGCCTCCAAAGTAGCTGGTGCTCACTGTTTTCTTTTGTCTTTTTTAAAAAATTTTTTAGTTGTTGATGGATCTTTATTTTATTTATTTGAATGTGGTGCTGAGAATTGAATCCAGTGTGTCATGCGTGCTAGGCAAGCATGCTACCACTGAGTCACAACCCCAGCCCCTCTTGTGTCTTTCTTTTTTTCTGTACCAGAGAATGACCCCAGGAGTGCTTAACCACTAAGCCACATCCCAAGTCTTTTTTATTTTTTATTTTGACACAGGACCTCACTAAGTTACTGAAGGTGGCTTCAAATTGTGATCCTCCTGCCTCAGCCTCATGAGTTGCTGGGATTACATGCAGGTGCCCCTGTGCTTGGTATGCTCACTGTTTTCTAATAGGCTGTTCATGTTTTACTTCCTGGTTGAAATGGTGTTTAATATATGAGATTATAAAAATCCTTTTTCGTGTGTTATGTAATGTGTTCTCTCAATCCGTGACTGATTCATTTTGTTCATTCTTCTGCTGAAGTTTTTTTTTTCTATACTTTTCTCTGCAGTTAAAGTTTCTACCAACGTTTAGAATTTCAATCCACTTTGAGATTTCTTTTTGTATAGAATGAAGTCTGCAATGTATAATACTACATGGTCTTGTTAATGTTACACAGATGCTGTCACACTATAGATAAAATTTGGTGGGCTGGGGATATAGCTCAGTAGGTATAGTGCTTGCCTAGCATGCACAAGGCCCTGGGTTCAATCTGTAGTTCCACCAAAAAATAAAATAAAATAAAATTTGGTAGCTGGCCTTTTTTTATGTGATGCTACCTTCTCAATATCTATCCATGTTGATAAAAGTCTAATTTATTTATTCCCCTCTCCATTCCCCTTGTGAAGGACATTGTATTGTTTCTGTGTTTTGTGACCTAGAAGTGGAACTGCTGATTCATAGGGTGTAGTGATGTGCCAGTTACTAAGCTCTTTTTTTTTTTTTTTTGGTATTGGAGATTGAACCCAGGGGCACTTTACAACTGAGCTACATCCCCAGTCCTTTTTATGTCTTATTTTGAGGCAAGGTCTCTCAAAGCTGCCTGGATTGCTCTCAAACTTGTGATTTTCCTGCCTCAGCCTCCCAAGCAGCTGGGATTACAGGTGTGTGCCACCTCAGCCAGCAGTTATTAAGCTCTTGTGTCCCAGCTCCAAACCCACCTTTCTAGATTATACTTTGTGAGTCTAAAAACCACATTTCTGAATTGCCAGCTTCTCTCTGCCAAGAAGAGATACTAGATGTAAATTTTAGGACTGGAGAGAGAGGGGAAAAAAAGGGACTCGGTCCTTTTGCCCTTTCCTGTTAGCTCCTCCTTCATCTGTGTGTCCAGCCAACACTGCGTTTTCACTAGGCAGCAGAATTCCTTGTCATAGAAGCAGTTTTGTGCACTTTGAGATTTCCCAGTCCCCCCAGATTCAGCTTTATGGGACTCCACCCGCTTTGAGACATAGGCATCAGCTGGCTGATAAAACCTCCTTAGAGGCATGAGTCCCAGTCACATGGGACCCCTCTTCCACCTTTCTAATTTTTAATAACTCCAATGGTATCCTTTTGTTACTACCTAGCCTAGCTGCTTTCTACAGTTGCTACCTCCCTGAAAACTTAAATTTGTTTTCTTTTTGTCTCTTAAGTTATATGTGGGAATTCTCCAATTTTATAAGCAATTGTTATTTAAAATAACTTTTCTCTGTGAAAATAATGGGTGTGGTTTCTGTGTCTTACCTGGGCCCTGATTAATCTGCGTCAAAGTTTGTCAACTTCATTGTTTTTTTTTTCCTTCTGAATTGGATTACTTTATACTGTCAGAAGTTTGAGAAGTTCCTATCATCACCAGCACTTAATATTCGTCTTCTAAAAAATTTTTTTGGTACTGAGGATTGAACCCAGGGGTACTTAACCAGTGAGCCACATCCCCAGCCCTTTTGATATTTTATTTAGAGACAGGTCTCTTTTACTTACACAAGGTACTCTTGCTAAGTGCCTCGCTAAGTTACTGAGGCTGGCTTTGAACTCAAGGTCCTCCTGTCTCAGCCTCTCCAGATGCTGGGATAACAGGTGTTGCACCACTGTGTCCAGCTAGTCCTCTAAAATTTTAACAGCAACTTTGCTCATATGTGTGTGTGTATGTATATGTGTGTATATATATATACATACACACACACATACACCCACATATACACACACGTGTATAACCAAATGGTTACATTATACAAGCTGTGAGGTTTTTAAACTTATGACAAGGGACAGAAGGGAAATTCTACTTATTGCAAGGAAATTTTCACTTAAGCTTCAGTGAGCCACAAGCACTTCAAACCCATGAACCTTCAGCTGATTGCCCTTAGCCAGTCCAATCTCTACCAGGAACTGGCATGTTCTTGCGCTGGTCGCCCTGTAGCTGAATTACTTCTCCATAATCTGGATGCTCAATTACAGTACCATTGCAGGCAAATTTCTTCCTAAACACCTCCATTAGTTTCTTTTAATCGTAATCACCAGCGACTCCTTGGACAGTAGTAAGGGTCTTCCAGACGTTTCTCTGTTGAATTCTTATGTGGATCTAATCCTCAGTGCCAGCAGGAAGCAGGTCATAACCCTTGCTTGCATCAGCAAAAGAGTGGAGGTTCTGGATAGCGGAAATATGGGAAATAGGATAGGATTCCTTTTCTACGGTGGAAATGGCCTGCAGAAGGCGGCTGCGCTGCGGGAGAAGGCGGGCGGGGGGCGGGAGAAGGGGGGCGGGGGGCGGGGCCTCTGGGAGCGCAGGGGGGGTGGGGGGGGGGGGGGGGGGGCCCTGGGGAGGCGGGGGGGGGTTGGGGGGGGAGGCTGCTGAGTCCTTGGCAGCGACTCAGTGACTGGGGATTCACGAACATTTTTATCTTATATTGGCAAGATTTTTTTTTTTTTTATTTTACTCACATATTTGCCATCTTGGTTCCTCTTCTTTACTTTCTGCACTCCATCCAGGGATCATTTTCCTCTTTTCCTGAAAAATACCCAGTAGAGTGTGCTCTAGTGGGTGTCTGTGGTGAACTTCTCAATTTTGTGTGGGTTTTGTTTTGAGAAAAAACCCAGGGGTACTCTACCACCGAGCTACATCCCCAGCCCTTTTTTATTATTTTGAGAAATGGTCTCTTACATTGCTGAGGCTGTCCTCAAATTTGTGACCTTCCTGCTTAAGCCTCCTGAGCTGCTAGGATTACAGGCATGAGCCATCGCATCCAGTCTGAGAATGTTTCCTTATGATACGTTTTTTAAAGAGTTAATCCTTTACCTTTTAGTATTGGGTGGCATTATGCCAGAGTAAATAAATGCTTTGCTTTTCCCCTGAATCTCCCATGCTTATGATACACAGGGCATTTCAATTAATCCTCAGACACCCACACTACAGCATATATTGAATATATATACTATCCTTCCTGTATTTTCTATACAGCATGCCCTTACTCTGGTTTACTAAGTATTAAATGTATCAAAAAGCCATTTCATCAACTCTTCCAATCTTTATCTCACCCATTTAAAAGAAAATCAGATTTGATGTTTTAAAAATTTTGTGTTTCAATAGTTTATTATGGAAAATGTCAAACCTAAATACAGGGCATCTATAGTAACAAAACAGACCAGTGGTTGCCTCTGGAGGTGGATATTAACTCATAAAGGGTAGGAAAGAACTTCTTGGGTTGATGAAAATATTTCATATCTTGATTGGAGTGTGTGTTGATGGGTGTATACAATAGTCATCAAATGGGCAACTTAAAATGTATGCATTGTATTGTATATAAGTTATGTCTCAATTAAAATGTGAAAACAAAACAATAAAAAGTGTTCTGTTCTCATTCCAGGAGTCAAGACTTGGGTTTCCTGAGGAAAAAAAATCAGGAATACTGGCCACTAAAGCAGATGAAAAACTTGGACAGTGGAAAACCCCCATCCTCTTAAGGCTTTAGAAATTGTCTTTACCCCTGAATATGACCTTTTCTGAGGCCCCTGCTGGGATATGCTGACCCTCCTTTAACTACCATCATGACCAGGGCATTCCTCCACTCCACAGTGTAGATTTGATCCTCAGAAGTCTAACCACAGTCTCTTCCCAACTTAACATTAGTCTCCACCCCACTAGTTTTTACCTCCATGACTTACCATCCCATGTCTACTAACTCCCCATTAGCTCACAGCTCTGCAGACCACAGCACAATGTCTGCCGACTGACAACTAGCCCACAAAACCTTGTTTGATCACACCCTTATCCCCAGCAGAGTCTGCCAAACTCCCATTAGCTCATAGCACCATGTCTTGCCATCCCCATGAGCTGCCATTACAATTCTTGCTGACCCCATTAGCTGACATCAAGTTTGATCAGCCCCCTGATAAGACTGGTGATTCTCCTTCAGGTTGGTTTTGTAGCTTACTGTCCTTTACATTGAGCATGGGGACAGTGACCTCCCATCACCTCACAGCCATGTGTCTTACCACCTTCCTTCAGATTAATGTAGTGTCTGTTGACCTCACCATTTTGTCCTCTGGTGCCCCATTGGCTACCAGTATGATGTATTTAACCCACTGAGTTGTCATCATGGTGTCTGCTCACCCATCATTAGATCACATCTGCACAGTGTGTCTTCCACAGTACACTTTCGTCAAGGTCTGTCTGCTGTTCCCCAGTTAGCCACCAGTATGGTGAATCTGATCCTTCTGAGTCCTGGTGTCTTCAGAACTCATTTGACCTTGTCCTTCTGTCTTCTGATTTCTCACTTGCCAAGTTTCAAGGTTTCTTAACCTTGAGGACACAGTGGTATCCATGTTCCCTATAATAGGCCCCATTACTGTGTCTTCCAACCATATATTACAGCCTATCAATGTTTCTGCTGACATTAATGTCTTTAGACTTATTTGCTAT